TAAAAACACGATATATTATACATAAATATAAATTAATACAGTCAAAAACTAATTAATTTATTCTCTGAAGTACGGGCCATTACTTTGTTTACATATTTGTATACTAACCTGTGGCACGATATTCCTGAAATTTTTTATTAACATTGCTTTTGCTATTGCAACTACGTTGAGAACAAGAAATCATTATTATGCACTATCACAACACATTATTACAGTTTCTATAAAAGTATTATAAAACTAAAAATATTCGAAAAATAACAAATGTAAACAAATATATACGATCTGTCAAAAGTGTCAAAACAATATTAACAATATGGCGAAGTGAGGTCGTTTTTAGTCACGTGATGTCCTCTCGATAGATACTAACTCGATGGGTTATACTCAATGTTCCCCTGTATTATCACGAAAGAAGGAAATTATTTTTTTTTGTGTTTCTTTATGGATAACCTCGAAAATAACGTGCTGTATACACCATCACCTCTTCTTTCACCCCAAAGGAATAGCAATAATGTGAATGTGAATCCGAATGATGATAATATGGTAAACGTTGTTAATTCAATACTTCAACAGAATGCACAGATGCTTCAGATGTTGAAACTACAAAACAGCAGCCCAAACACAAGTAATTCTGTACTAAATTTTGAAACCATTGAAACATTTAATGGTGAAGGTGACTTCAGCCAAGCGGCAGTATGGTTAAAACTAATTGAGTTTACAGCGGTATTACACAATTGGCGAGAGGCATTTATATACTAAACAGCCAAAAGCAATCTTAAAGGCGCTGCAAAGTTCTGGTTTATAGGCCGAAATGAAGAAATCACAGATTGGTCCAAATTCAAAACAGATTTCGGAAAACATTTCTGTTTTTACAAAATAAATCAAATTTATGGAGAAAGATGTAAGAGTGTAGTCAAAATCCAAATGAGAATGTTTCTATTTATTTCCATATGATAGTTTCTCTGCAAATCACTCGAACTGCCATTTGAAGAAACAAAAAAAACAAATTGCCATTGGTTTGTGGAGTAAGGAATTAAGTAATTTTATTATGTCAAAAGAGCATCATGATGAAGACACCCTGGATCAAGATATCCTTCTACAAATCTATTTTTTTTTGCTGTTATATTTGTCGAAATTATCACGTCATCGATTTTTTTAGTGGGACATAGAAATCCGAACACGCATTATAAATTATTAAATTTGGAAAATATTTTGTACAGTTATAGGTACATGGTAGCAAAATGAACAATCAAAATTTCAATATGATTGAAACAACTTACAAGGATAAATCAATTAATAATAAGTTACTGCATCTCGGATACGCCTGAGCTCGTTTCTGATGAGGTGGTTAATATCCTCCTGGGGATCTCGTTACATGTCCTAATTACCTCTTCCCGAAATGCTCCCAAAGTTTGAGTATGATTCTCTAAATTAAGAAATCTCCGGCCTATCATGTTCCACACGTGTTCAATGGGGAATAAATCTGGATATCTCGGAGGCCAAGTCAAAATATTGACTCCAGTCCGTTCAAAGAAGTCCGTGATAACTCTCGCAATGTGAGCCCTTGCGTTCATCATCATAATCATAGGTGGCTTGACAATCCATTGTGGATCTTGGCCTGTTAACAAATAAGTCGCCATTCCAGTCGATTCCTAGCAACTCCCTTGATTTTCTAACCCTTAGAATCCGTAGGTGTTCTTCCACATCGTCAATCCACCTTCTTCGTTGTCGTCCTCTACTTCTTGTGTCCTCTGGTTTTGAAAATGTTAATCTCTTCGTGTATTCATGAACTGACATCCTAGCAATGTGTCCAACCCATCTAAGTATCTGCACTTTTAACGAATTTCACAATATCTGAATCGGTGTATAACTTATATAGTTCAAGTTGGATCTTCGACGCCATAGTCCATTTTCATTTACGGCCCCAAAAAACTTTCTAAGAATTTTTCTCTCAAAAATACCAAGAAGTCTTTCATCGTTTTGAGATAAGGTCTACGTTTCAGCCCCATATATCAAAGCCTGTCTTATTAAGGTCTTGTATACATTGAGCTTCACTGCACGTTCTATATTTTTATTTTTTAAGTGTTTCTGGAGACCGTGAACAGTTCTGTTTACTATTTTGTCGTGAACATTGTCGTGTGTGTTGCGTTTATTAGCTATTCAAGATATGTGAATTGCTTAACTTGCTCAAAGTAGGTAGAATCCCAAAGTCTATCATTGCATTATATAAAGCGGTTCTTTTCACACTGGCAGCTTTGAAGTCGACGAAGAGATGATGTGTATCTATGTTATAGATACAGAGTAATGCCTCTATAGTTCTTACACTCCAGTTGATCACCCTTTTTATGCAACGGACATATTATTCCCTTTAGCCACTCTTTTACTACCAATTCATTTTGCCATATAAGTACTATTAGTTTATGGATTACTGCAAAAAGTTGATCACCACCTTTTTTATACATTTCCGAACAGATTTCATAGATTTCTGGGGCTTTATTGTCTTTGAATTTTAGGATGGCATTTGACACTTCTTCTCTTGTTGGGTTTTTACTGTGTAGTTGACGTTGTAGATGTTGTTGATTGTCTATGTTGTAATGTTGTGCCCATCTGTTAAGAACTGAGTTTTTACCATGTAAAATTTCACCTTTAGCGTCTTTACAAATTTTTATTCGTGGTTTAAATTCTCGACGGCTAATATTTAAGGGTTTGTAGTATTTCCTCGTTTCATTTTTATCGAATAAACTTTGTATCTGATTGAGAGTGTTCTGTTCGTATTCCATGCTAAAAAAATTTGATGTTGAAGAACCTAAAAGTAGGGTATGAGATGAGGGTCCAGAAATTTCTTTTACGTATAGCTGCACTGTCGTGTTTTCTCTAATGAAAACTAGACCTTGAACCATAAGTGATGGCTCCCCACATTATAACCCAAAAAGTGCGGTGCACGTGCCGTTCGAAAAGAAACTTTTTGTGGATTTCTTTTTGTGTCTTTCAACACGTCGTCCTCCAACCCTGGCTCGACAATCTCTTTTCTAGTGCGTTGTTTCAGCTCTTCGATGTTGTCTTGCCTATTTACATAGACTTTGCTTTTTAAATAACCCCAAAACCAAAAGTCTAGGAATGTTAAATCCGGAGAACGACGAGGACATTCTATAAACCTTCTTTTACCTAATCATCGATTTGGAAATATTGAAGATAATTTCCTCACATCATTCCTAAAATGTAGCAAGCACCCTATTTTTAAAACCCCTAAAATTATACGAACAAGCTGAATTTTGCCGAGAATATTAATTTTGGGACCCCAAAAAAGATACAAAACCTTTAAAAGTCATCTTGATTTTTGTCGACAGAACACTTGGATCAAAAGATATCGAATTTTTACCGTTGAGCTGATATAAATGTTATTGAACATTGATTTCGCGCGCGTTACTGACATTCATAATCAAAGGTCGCTCCAAGCGTTGTTTCTAAGGGAACTGTTCATTCTACACAAAAAGTGCTAATAACTGTTTTGATTTAAAATTATCTCAGCTACATTTTTTTCTACGACGTACAGATTCTTGATAAATTGATTTTTTTTGCGTTTTTACCCCCTTGTCAGGGGTATTTTAGGGGGAAGCCCGGATGTAAAAGTAGTAAACTTTTTTGGGGTCCCAAACATAATATTCTCGGCAAAATTCAGCTTGTTCGTATTATTTTTAGAGGTTCAGTTACGTTTTTAAACATCTGCATTCAAATTGCCATCGAAAAATTATGGGTCCACCCACCATTCGATTTCCAAAAATCCCTGCCTAAACATGAACTTTTTGTGTCACTTTTGTATGACTTTGAAACCAATGTGGATTTTCCGGACTCCAAAAGTGTTTAGTTTGTTTATTAACTACTGTACTTGTTATTAACTACTATTAATTACTGTTCCTAAACTTTAGCTCCCGATTCATGAGTTGATTTTTTTACAGACAGTTGAATTGTGGTCTGTGAAAGGCAGAGTTCTTGTGAACGACGTGAAATCAACTGCCTCGGATTCTCCTCACTACTTTTACAAACAACGCGACGATATTTTCGGCAGATCTCGCGTTTCCTCGATATACGAGTGTTGCTTGATTGTTTACTTAACCTGAACCAGTGGATTTAAATTTATCCACCACACTGCACAATAATGATCAAACAACCGAAATAAGAGCCAGGATAGAAATAGCAATAAATGCGTTTGTAGAAATGAAAGCAATTCTCTGCAACAAAGACCTTAGATTAGAACTAAGTAAGAGCACTGAGATGCTACGTGTTTTCGATACTGTAATATGGACTTGAAAGCGGGACATTGAAGCAAAAATGCATAAATAAGTTACATTCCTTTGAAATGTGGTGTTACAGGAGGATGCTTAGACACAGAAGAAAACTAAGACGAAAGTATTGCGAGAAATGGGCAAAGAATGCGATATAATAAACACGATAAAAATAAGACAGTTACAATATATGTGACACGTAATGAGGGGACAGCGATATGAACAGGCTGATAATACAAGGAAAGATAGAAGGAAGGAGTATCGGAAGGAGAGTGTCATGGATGAAGAATTTAAGGGACTGGTTTAAATGCAGTTCTGTAGAACTCTTCAGAGCAGCAGTAGATAGAGTAAATATAGTTATGATGATATCCAACCTCCAATTGGGCGATGGCACTTAAAGAAGAAGGCCACACTGCTAGTCCTTTAGAAAAATTATGGCGACTGTAAAATGGGCAAAGCGCGCGAAACTTTGCCCGAACAGAACACCGATTTTGATAAAAACAATTTTACATTTGCACGAATTGTACACTTTATTTAATTATGGTGATTTGGCAAAACAAACTAAATACATGACATCCAAATAGAGAGATTTAGCTTCAACAATATGGCCGCTGCCAACTTTCAAATTTCTGAAGACCCTAAGTACCCATAGTACCGTTTTAATACTTTAATGAACAGAAATTATTCAAAATACATAGTTTAAATAGTATTTGTACTCACCAGCAAAGAGACTCAACAAGAAGTCGTTTTTGGAGTTGCGCATCTCCTGTGGTATAAGCGATTTGACTCCGTGGAATGCATAAAAATATACGAAAGATGAGACTCCTAATGTTTTTAGAACGGGACTAATTCCACAATATAAAGACTGTCTGAAACAATAAATGATAATCTGTTTGGTATACAAATTGCTCATCAAAATTTATGTATATTAATAGAATTTTTTATTTTGAAACATGAGGATTTTTGATTAACCCTTTTTAAAATCAAAACAATTATTGATCTGTACGTCGAACCATAATCATACCTTAAAAATATTAATATTATTTATTAATTATATTAATATGTAATTACTATTTTTTGTATTATTAATTAAACGTATGGTTTCAAGAACAAAATATGAATGAAGTGTCAGATGTTGGTAGTTCAGATTTCCTTTCCTAGGTGGCGCTAGGTTTGAAATAAAAACTAACATAAAGCTTTAAATTATTTTGTATTAAATTCTACCTTAAAAATATTATTAAAATGAATAATTAATTGTTTTAATATACAATTAATACAGTATTATTAATTAGACGTATCGTTTCAAGATGTTGTTCAAGATATAATTGAAATATGCTAGTTCCTAGATGGGGCAGTTACCTTACTGGACAAACAGTGTGACTTGTCATCATAGCCTTTTATATACACTTCATCTAATTTACATACCGATGCACGTCATCGACGTCATAGCCCGTGACGTCACAATGCGGTAGGTGTGTTCTTTTTTATAATCACTTTGCCGAGTACATTGGCATTACAGCCACTAGACATATTTTATTATATACGCATAAAAATAATATTTAAAAATTTTTATTAATGTTAACTTAAAGAAATACACAATAATATGTTTCATTTAATTTGTATAAATGCATTATAAAGCGATTTTCAAAAATGCCATGTCACGTAAGAATTTAAGCAGTCGTTGTAAAGAGATGGTAATACTTTTGCAATAATTATGTGATCTATTTGATTTCAAATTGAGGCAGGATTTTTTTATACTTTGGCAACTATGTCAATTTCGATCTCTGACGTAGATAATAACGTGCATCGTTATGTAAATTAGATGAAGTATAGATAGATACTTTAATCCGACCCTGTCAAGCATTTCAATAAAATAAAAATAAAATTAAAATAGTCAATGTTTTTAACATTCATTTTATTTCGGGCATGCGTACTTCCAAGGTTCATGAGGTTTTGCACCCATTATACTGATATATAAATGGCGTTCATACTTACATGCCTTCAGTCTTAAGAAGGTGAATTATACCTTCAAAAGTAGATTTTTCTGCAAGTTCTTTATCTTCAACTGGAATAAAAAGAAAGTATGAGATTTTACGCTAATATTGCGGTAGAATATCGAAATATCCCGTATCAACGTTCATTTTTGAATTAACCTTTCAGTAGAAGCAGCTTGTCTAGGAGACCGTTGGGAGTCAATGACGGTCAATTCTAAAGCCAATCGGAAGCTTTCAAGTTTCTCCGGCTCTGTACCTTGTTTTGATATACTCGGTTCGCTATTCTCAGTCCGAACTGTCTAGTGAATTTAGTATTTTTTTTTTTGTGAAGTTAGTTACTTTTTGACAGACTAAGAGAGGCTGGAAATTACTATACAATCAAGCACACGTAATTATAGCCAATATTAATAGTAAACAAACTAGTAAATAAAATAGAATTTTGCGAATTACAGACTATCAATATTTATTTATCTGCACCATATAATAAATAGTAATGTTAAATTATAACAACTAAAATATATTTTTTAAATATATACTACCCAAAATTTGATGGGTTTAGTATACACTTCCACTATTTAGAATAATTCTTCTTTTTTCAAAGAAAGAAGTCTGCAATAGTAGTATACTTGAGCTATTAATACTGAGAAGTAGGAATTGTTGTTGTAGGTTTCCGACAATGAATATGTCAAAATATGCCCGAGCTAAGCGAATGGAGTATAGGTACATTTATCGACTGTGTATCATTGTAGTGTTGATGCTCGAACTGTAAGTTTGTAATTAGTAAAACCGGTGCAGTGGACCGGGTGCGTTTAGAGAAGTAATAGAATTCAGTCGCGATCGAGATATATACCCAACAAACATTGATGAAATTCGTGTCCTTTTAGGTGTCTATATCTTACAGGTGTAACAAAGGCAAGTCACCCTAATACAACAGACTTGCGGAAAACGGACGGCACTGGTATAGAGGTTTTCCGACTCACAATGAACATCACGAGATTCAGCAATTTACTAAGGTACATACGAATTGATGATATCGTTACGAGGCATGATAGAGTTAGTTTGGATAAATTAGGGCCAATAAGAAATCTTATTACCAAGTGGAACGAAAATCAGAAAAATTCTCATTCTCAATACGTAACCGTGGACGAAAAGTTGGAGACTTAAAGGACTTAGAGGATTTGCACTATCTGATGCGAAGTTATTTTATACCAGTAACATGGAAGTAACCATTGGCAAAAACCAAGTGGGTAGATTTCCATAATATCTAGACACTAGTACCAAGGCATGGCGGAACGGACCTGTCAACATCTTTACGGATCTAAGACAAATGTTACCACCGACAATTGGTACACCAGCGTTGATCTTGGTATAAGCTTGACGAAAAATGGTTTAAGGAAGGAAAAAAAAGGCTCTCTTGGGAACAATAAGAGTAACTACAGGAGAAATTCCTGCATATTTCTCTAACAATCAAGGACGATGTATTGGCTCTAGTACATTTGAGTTTGGTTCAAGAGAAAACACTAGTGTCACATAAACAAAAAAAAACAAAAACGTTCTGATATATTCCACTATGCACCATGAGGACGACGTTGATCCTGTAACTGGAAATCATATAAGCATATAACAGCACAAAAAGAGGTGTTGATACCGTAGATCAATTATGTGAACAATAAGATGTGGCACGAGTAGAAGATGGCCTATGATTGTTTTCTACAGCCTTTTAAATGTTACAGCAATAAATTCCTTAGTTATTTACAATTGTAACATTCCAAATTCCACAAAGACCCGACGAGAAGTTTTGAAAAATTTAGCATTTAGCCATATGTACAACCACCTGAAGCATCGAAGCCAAAATGTCTATATACCCAAGACAATAAGGATTCGACTAAAGGAGATCTTTCATTGGGATGAAAATGTCGTGCCCGTTCAAAGAACTCTGGGAGTAATTGGGAGGTGTGGTGACTGTGGATGGAAAAAAAATCGAAAAACGAAATGTTTTTGTTCGATTTGTAAAAAGTATCTTTTTTGGAACATGTAAATCCAATTTGCAAAGACTAACAATATTCCGGCTTAATTTTATTATCTACCTATTTTGCCATCTCTTATATTTTTTTATGATAAGTCTTAGTGAAATAATGTTTTATTTTTGCTTAAGATAATTCTTGAAGACTGATATGTTATGTTCTAATTTTAAATTATTTGTAATTTGTTTAATAAAAAAGAGGATAAATCAAACTATTACAAAAATTGTGAACTATTTTTTGTTCTACGTAAATAAACATCTTAAATAAACAAAATATGTCCATAATAATGAATAATGTTAAAAAAACTACCAACAATATATTATTATTTTATTGAAATTTAAACAAAATACATCCAAAGGACTATTTTTATGACCGGTGTAGTAAATAGTGTGCGACTACTGATACACAAAACTAAACTAGGTTTACTGAAAGGTTAAAAGATTTTTAATGAGAAAGCAAAAAGAAACAAGAGCAGAATTTCCAGTTTTTTTTATAACATTTGTAAGTAAACACGCATCTTTTTATTTATATCTCCAGAATAAACGTAAGCAAATGATTTTAATTGAATTTTTTATGAACCTAAATTTCCTTTATTTACTTTTTATTAATTATTTTACAATGTGTTAAAACAACATTTAGTTAAATCAGTATATTTTAACGTAATCAATTATGCTAATTAATATACAATTAAAACTTTCAAGTTCACATTACATCACTTGGTTTAAAAAAAAACAGAAGATTTAATGAACTTGGGAAAAATGTTTACAAATTAACAATTTTATTTGATAAAAATACTTACGTTGCTTTCTGAATTTAATCATATCCAAAGGGTACACGCTGCTCATGGCAAAAATGCTTGCCTAAAAAATTAAATTGTGTAATTGTGGGTGTTAATTATATATACAAAATATTTTCATGATATAAATACGAAACTAGTCTATAAAAAAAGGAACTAGAAGGAAATGAGAACTGACAAGAAGATAATATTCTCTTGTATTTAATCCTCATACATCTGTTCATACTGCTCAAAAGGTCAAATTTGAATAAAATAAATTTGAGTCAAATATAATAAAAAAACGAATATTTAGCAAGGAGAATAAAAATTTTTTGAAATTCATGTTAGATAATGTAAACTGGGTATCTGTTTTTGAAACATTAGAGGTAGATAATCAAAGGGCTTTTATGAATATAGTTAAGAAAATGTTTACACAATGTTTTCCTCTCAGAGATAAATACAACAAATAAAAAAATCACAAAAGTACTTTAAAAATGATGATATAAAACATTGTAAACCTAGGCTTTATGTTTTGTTTACACTGTCTACCAATAATGTTGATTATAAAGATATTTACATGACAGAAAAACGCAAATACAATTCTTTACTCACTCTCCCTCAAAATCGAAAAAATTGTTATAAAGAACGAATTGAAAATAGCGAAGATAAAACTAAAATGGTTTGGCAATTGATAAAAGAGATTAAGGGTAATTCCAAAGCTCAAAGTAATTTCTGTTTGGGGAATGGCCCTCAGGTGCTTTCTAACGAAATAAATCAATTTATAGCAAATACAGCGCCAGAAGCTGTAAAGAAAATAAAGCAGGTAAAAAATTTTCAAATTAATATTGAACAAAATAATTATTGCATGTTTTTTACTCCTGTTTCAGAGAAAGAATTAAGGCACATAATAAATAACATAAAAACCAAGCATAGCTCTGGTTGTGATGAAATATCAACCAACTTAATTAAATATGTTTCATCAGTGATTTCTCTTCCTCTTTCTTTTATAGTTAATGCTTCTTTCAGGCAAGGTATATTTCCTCAAAGTTCTCTCAACTCTCCTCAACTCTCAATTTTATTGTCAAGCCACTATATAAAAAAGGTGATGTTACTAAGATGGAAAACTATAGGACCAATAAGCCTTCTTCCATCATTCTCAAAAATATTCGAAAAAGCAATATATTTCAGAGCGCAAAACTTTTTTACTACAAACAACTTATTTAGAAGTTCACAGCATGGTTTTCTGGCAGGAAGATCTGTTGAAACAGCTACCTATGATTTTATATCAAAAATTTTAGAAAAACTAGATTCAAAGATGAAAACACTATGTGCTTTTTTGGACCTATCTAAGGCTTTCAATAGCCTAGATCATGTTTTTTTTTATTACAAAAATTATATCTTTATGGAATACAGGGACAGGAATTAAAATGGATAAAATCATTTCTCGCAGATAGGTCGCAAAAGGTATGCCTGGAGAAGAAAGAATGTAAGGTTTACTCTGAACCGATCAATTTAAAATTAGGCATACCATAGGGGAGTGTCTTGGTGCCTTTTTTCTTTTTGGTCTACATAAATGACCTTCCAAATGCGGTGGTTAGTAGATCCTCAAACCTTGTAAATTTTGTTGATGACTCAAAATGTGCTTTTCTGGGAAAATCATTAGAAACACTCCGGTTTCACAGAAACACAGTTCAGTGGAAAACGGTTGTTGCTTAATACTGATAATTTGATATGAGGTTGAATTCTCGAATAAATGAACTTTGATCAAATGAAAGGCAGATATTGAGCACAGTTTTATAATTAAATCTTGCCCAAGTACTTTCGCTTCCTAGAGCATCTTCAGGGGCATTTCGTCAAATTTGGCCTATCCAACAATCTGTTGAGAATGTCATAAACACAAAATTGTACATTACAAAAAAGAGGAAAGAATGGAGACAGATATCAAAATTAGAAAGACAAATAAGAAATTTTATCCAAAACGTAGAGAAATATGACTAATCTACCTTAGAATCTGATAATATGCAAAACCATAAGCCATAATATGAAGTAATTAAACAGTGATAAAGATAATGAGTTGTAGTTATTACTGTATTTGACCTACAATATTCTACTCCAGCAAGAGGCTTTAATATTCAACTATTAGTTTATTGATGAAGTTTTTTCATATATGTAGTTCTAAAAGGCTTTTTACAAAATATTTAAATATGGGGCTAAGTACCAAAAACAAAACATTCTAAGAGATTTAGAAAATGGATTAATTGAACCGGTTTTAAACAAAAATCGTTATCTTACAAAAAAACTGTTTATTTTCAAACTTAAAACATAAATTATAGCTCTGAGGGAGAGTATTGTTTGCTGAATATAGCCACACCCTGTATATATTGAATTATTGATATGTTGTGTGTAAGTTAATTGAAAACTCAATTATTTGATTGTCAAAAATCCAATAATACAGTAGATGTCAGTTAATACTTTTATTTGGTATTTTTTTTTTGAGTAAGAAGTTAACATCATACAGGGAATTGCAAGAACTGCAAATTATTTTTGAAAATATAAGTAAAAGTAGCTCTTTTTAACTTCTAAAATGAACAATTGTTAAAAATCCCAAAACTGCATGTAAACTTTAAAATAAACCATTTTTGGGCCAAAAATTCTTAGTTAATATTTAAAAAAACTATTGCTCTAAAGAAATAAAATGGCATGAGTACATATGAAAAAAGAAATCTATTATACTTTCTTCTTTGTGTGCCTCATCCTTTAAGAAATGTCATAGCAATCATCATGGCCCATTTGACTCTATCTGCAGCAGTTCTGAAGAGTTCAATTGCCAGTTTTCCATTGCATAATTTATGTTGATTCTTCAGCAAATTTAAATTATCGAAAATTGTACCATTTATTTAAAATTATAGAGTTAGCAAACAATAATTTTCTATAATTTACAAAACTGAACATATTTTACATTGGCAATTCAGAACACATTTTAGAATATGCTAAACAATCCTAGAAAAATTCTTCAAATGCCTAAAACAATCTAATTGGGTCCCATCTAGTGACAACTAGTGGCTACTTTATCAACCCTCTTCTTCCTATACAGGGTGGTGCTTAAGTTATTATACAAAAAGAATCTGTAGATTCTACACTTTAAAATAGTACTTAGGATTTAAGCTAAATTTTAAAATTTAAGCTAAATGTTATACCAAAATTCTGTTGAGTTCTGAAGTTATTAACAAGTATACCTTTTTTTTTTTGTTAAAATATTGTATCTTTAATATATTTTATCACAAACACCAGTAAATTAAAGAGCAAAAAAGTTAAGTGCAAATGTATGCCACATATGTGGCGCCCTCTATCAGTTACATTAAAGTATGCATCAAGTTATAATTCCTGACATTTAATAGTATCCAGTTATACATTTTTATACATAAATGTTCACAGACATGAAATTTATAGTGAAAATTAAAATTTTAAATTTACACTTTAACACACTGTATCTTTCTTAATATCAACATTTTATTAAAACAATTTGACTTAAATCGTAATATTTTAAAGTGTAGAATCTACAGTTTCTTTTTATACAATTATTTAAGGACCATCCTGTATATTTATTTGCAAAAAACGCCCACATTCCTTACTGTTCTACATGTTGTAATTCACTTTTCCATTATTATTTCACAAATATCAACACATTATTGAGTTTAGTTAACTTTATTGGATAATATATTGATCACATCACTTCTTACATTTTTTATATACTGATTTTCCAAAATCAAAGCAATATATTTGTCTGAATTTATTTGTAAATTGACTCCCAGGTATGTTTCCTGTGTAGTTCTGTTTCCCTTAATATCTCATAAATATAATTGATATTCTGTATTTATAGCATCAAAAGATATTCTGACAATTATTTTTTAATTTTCAGATACAATTATCAACAGTGATTTTCATATAAATGTGACAAAACCATTATATTTACAGCTAAGGTTCATTTTAATGTTAGAATTCACAAATAGTTCAATAAAAGGTAATTTCAATGTTATTTATAACAATTTGAGTTCCTATCTTCATCCAATATCAACTTTTTACTTCAAAATTGAGCAACTACAATTTGTAATGGACATGTCTACATGAATACATGAATAGTATACATGAATACTGTATAATAAATGTATAAAATATATAATATATTTATAACTATAAAAAAGCCAGTATACTTGTATATTTAAAGATTAATAAGTTTTATAAATAAATAAAATTACTTACAGCAGCCCCTGCAGTGGCATGTACCAAAGTCTCATAGGTAAAAATGGTTTTTTGTGGCAGTTTAGACATCTTAATTTAATGCAAAATACTGAACGTTTATAAAAATGAATTCGAAAAGATACAACACCAAAATGTCAGAATTAAATGTTGAATTCAAAGGTCATACAGCTTTAACTTGTGGCCCCGTCACCTTCTAAAAGCAGACTGTTATTACATTTGTGGAAATAGTTACATTGTGACTGATTTTACAACTAAACCACGAATTATTACAACCCAACGGAGGCTGGCGTTCTGTTATCAACTACATTTTAATCATTTTAATGGTTTTTAGATATCCTAAAAGTCGAGAGAGGTTATATTTACTTCATCAGCTGTCATTACAATGCATTAGGAGGAGCTGAGGAGGAGTGAGGAGTCAAGGAGTGTATAATCGATCGTTTATCGTGTATCCTGGGTTATGGAGTGAATCGTGAATCACATTGAACTGTTACTTTGGAACCTATTTATTTACCTTTAGCATTCCTTTAGGAAAAGTTTCGGTTTCAGTTTCAGTGGAAAATACTAATACTAATACTGTAACTGGAAGAGAATACAATATTCGTTGATATGAGAAAGACGCACAGAAAAATAGGTAGAATAATCTAAAAATGACTGTAGAATAAGGAAATTAAAACATTTCAAATAAAAGAGCCCTCGAATATACAAAAAGATAATAGGATGCTTATATCAAAAGCAAATACCAGTTAAAAGAGGAACATTTAGACACAGCGTAAAGCAAGGCGTAATATTGTTCGGAAGAATTCCATGACTTAAATCATCGAGATTCTAGAAATAAGTAATAAATTTAACAAATTAGCAAATTTAAACACACATGTTTAGACAATTAAAACTACCAAAAAAGGTAGTCGAAGAAAAAATAAACAACAGGAGACCAAAAAGGATGGAATTGTGAAAATCATCATAGATATATTTCTGCTAATGTCGTTTTGCATTTCCAGATTTCTGATTGGAGGTTTGGTTTTTAATTTATCCACTTTGTTTCATTTTTTCTATCGTTTGTCATCAATTTTATTTTGTCTAGCTATTTTCCTTTTTATGAAAAGTTACTCTTCTTCCTGAGCATAATATATCTTTTTCTCGATATGGCATATATAATACGTCTCTATCGTTGAAATCAGTTATGTAGAAACTTTAAGGGATAATTGTTGGACAACATAGTACAATAATGAGATAATATATATAACTACGAAAAAAAGTTAAATTTTTGGAGTTGCTACGTAACTAATACATAATGGTACATACATAAAATGAGAAACAAAAGGGAAAATTGATATAAAGAAATACATATTTTATAGGTATCTAATAGGTAGTTAGAAATATTATGTATATCACTCGTGAAATATGATTTTATAAAAAAGCTATTTATAAAAACATTAATAAACACATTATAATTTTTATTATCTTTTATAGTCGTAAGACAATAAAAATTTTTATTGTGTGTTTAATTCCCGAGATTCGGAATCATAACCATTGCCAAAAATTAGATACAAAGTAGGGATGATTTTATTTTATAATAATGGTGTCCCTGTATTTGTCTTGTTTTCTTCTTTTATTTATTGACAGCACAACATTCGGAAGATTTGAAGATAACAAAACAGAAGAAAAAGATTTGTTTACCTACTGAGGCCCTAGGCCGTCAATATTGTGCGAAATTAATAAATAAGGAAAAATAAAAATTCAACCCCTCTAACAACAGTGAAGAGTGAATAATGTGTTTTGATTTCCAAAATGTTAAAGTGTTTTTATGGATTTTAATTTTTAAAGTAATACTCATACAGTCGAAAACGTCATTGTGGAAATTAAATATTGATAAAACGAAAATTATCAAAGTTACCAAATTTCCATCTATAATTTCGTATTCCGATAATCAGCCAATTTTTCATTCAGGGGATCCTTTGTTTGATATTATTTTATCCACTGAACATTATGGTGAGACATGGGTCAAGCAACCTATTCAGTATTATTGTTCAGATTGTAAAAACAGAAGGTATTTATGATTCTTTTATAATCAATTTAAGATAACAATGACATAAGTTGATGATATCTTCCTCTTAATAGCAATAGTAGAATTACTGGTTTGGGGACATAATATCCATTCAGGATATGTCAATAATAAACTAGATGAAAAATTGCTTTGTCTTAAGCTAATTACACAGATATTATTTATATTACTTATTGTTTAAATCTTCATTTTGCTTTCCAATAGTGATTTTTAATTTTTTTGCTATTACTTTTCTTGCTATATCTCTTCACCTGGATGCTTTATGTTTACACTGACACAAAGTTAATTTTGTATTATCTGCCAATTGCCAATTATTGTTTATAGTCCCATTTTTTTGTTAATATTCAAGTGACATAAACTTTTAAACACAGGAGTTTTTGTTGTTAGTTTATTTATGTAATATCTAGATTAGTTCGAATTATTGTTTGGGCCAGTAAATTTGGTCCTTTATTTGCCTAATTTGTGCTAAGTTTTTTACAGTAAATTTCATGGAAGTTTATCTCAATGTTTCCGTATATAAGTTGCTTGGACAATAGATGACTCAATAACCAGTAGGCAACAAGTTGTCCTAATCATGCTTAAAAAAACATACAGAGAACACTCTGCCTACTCAAATTAATTCTTAAAACATGATTAACTATATATTGTTCATGTAACAATAACATATATAACAATAACATATGTAACAATATCATATTATTATGTAATATAACATGTAACATATGGAGGAATAAAAGAAAGGTTTGGACACAGGCATTGCAACTTTGAATTGTATAAAAGTTTTGGGGAACCTGTAAAATTCATTAAGGTAGCATGGCTTATATTGATACAGAATGTAAACAGGCAAGAGGAAGGTGAAACAGTGAGAAAAGCTTTTGATTAAAAAGGGCCAATGGGACGAGCCAAAGGAAAGCTGGAAAAACCTAGAGGATGATTTAAAATCTATTGGATTTAGAGCATGGAGAAGAGTTTCCAGAGGCAGCAGTGAAAGGAGGATTGTTCTGAAGAAGGCTTTGTTTCATAATGAGCTGTGATGTGACTGATGATGATGAATCTTTATAAAAATTTTAGTATTCTATATAAACATCAATAAAACATTTTCTTTTCAGAAATGGAACAAACCCGAACTCATACCAAAAGTATCAAACAGCTGATGAGGTTTTAGACTGTGGGAAACCTGTAAATTTTACATATTTTGACAATTTAGTAGGTGTTGTAAACAGAAACAAACATCCCACAGTCCCTGAACCGCAGGCAATTTTATGTTTTACTAAGAATTATGGGAACTACAAGAGTGAAATGGAAGAGTTTGATATTGATGCTCTTGAAAAAAGACTGAAAAAAGCCAAAAAGGAGGTAAGTAAAGTTTGAAAATAATTTTAGGTGAATTGTTAATTTTGCTTTAATTTGTTTGTATGCTGCATATTTGTTATAAACAAATTGTTCCTAAATTTTTAACATTATTGTTAACTAGAACCTTTCCATGTGGTCCAAGTAATTCGCTGTTACACTTGGACAATCATCCATTCAGGTTGCTGAATGGATATTCATATTATTTCTGATTTTTTGTTTATTTTAGTTAATTCCTCAGAGAGTTTGTCTTTTGTGTCTGTTTCTGAAAGAATGGTATTCCTGAAATTTTTTTTAATGTACTTATAGATTAGACAAGCTTTGTTATGGAACATAGAGATGGAACATGGAACAAAGATCTTTACACTACCCCAAAGATCTGCTTCTCGAAATTATTACAACTCAAGTCTTTTAACATTCGGTTCAGATGTAATTTGTGACTGCTTCTATCACCTTCCTTAGAAAATAATAATTTTAAGTATCTATTTTCGTGTGTGAACAGTTTACCTTTCTAAATCCCTTTTAGAAACATTAAAGATGCATTCAGTATCATTATAGTAAATATTTGTTTGTTAACAATGAATTCTACAAACAGTTGTTTCATCAGTAAAGATCCAAATGACACAAGGACCTGATTACTAACTTGGGTATCTTTAACTGATCTGGACCCATTAATCAATGTGTTTTAAATGTTCTGTATTTGCAATGACTACTGAGGCAACTCATTTCTTTACGAATGTTTGAATTTTGTACTCAATTTTTTAATATTATCGGAATAAGTTTTGACTTGCTATTTTAGAAGCCGAGGTCTATTCAATTATACAACCAGATCGGAAATTTTTGGCGTATTAAAGGAGACGCCAACAAGGCTATCGAATGCTTCCGTAGAGCTCTTGCAGTATCGCCTCATAATGCAGAAGTTCTGCTCAATCTGGCGAGGATACTGTTCTCTTTACAATATTTAGATGATGCCATCTATCTAACCAGAAGGTCGCTAGAAGTTCAGCCACCAGATAAAGGTAAGTAAGCCAGTTAAGAATCATCATATATACATCATAAATTAGATTATTTTTTTAATATACCAAGGTTATAATTTGTTATACTTATAATTTGCTGAAAAGCAGTTATCTCCCAAAGAATCAATGAGGACAATGAGTTATGTTGTATGATGTACTGATGTCCATCAATCACTGTAACAACCAGAGAAAACGTCAGAGAAGTTCACTATATCATTCTAAAAAATCGAAGGGTCTCCTTTTGTAAAATTGTGGAAGAAAAATGCTTTTCATTTTATGTAATTCAAAACATTACATCCAATGTTTTAGCCATGAAGGAACCAACAGCAAGGCCTTTGGTTCCCCTAAATGCCTTCAACTGATTGGAAGCATGACAGGGAGGACATTTGTCAACATGGATACACTATTATGATTCAGGGATCAAAAATTCAGATCTAGCAGTGAAAACATAAGGGTCTACCATCATCTCACAAGTTCAGAGTTGTGGAGTCAGCCAACAAGGTTATGACCTTAGTTTTCTGAGATGTACAAGGTTGATTGTTGGCCCTTAATATGTGTAACTAATACCAATATTGCGTGAAACCATAAAAAAAAGAGAGGGAGAAAGTTACAGGAAGGTGTGCTCTTTAAGTCCTTGGTTGTAATGACTGTCATTTGTGATTCAGGTTTTGTAATCATGGAGCATATTTTAGAGATTTTGCTCCAAGTGACTACAGGCTGTTGCCAAAACTCAAACAAGACTTTAGGACTTATAGTACTGTACAGTATTGTAGGTATGTCTCCCTATTCTCATATGCCAAATTTCTTGTGTTGGTGTTGATCTATGGCTTTGATATTTTTGTTCAAACAGATGTCATATAGTTGAAAGAACATGCTGGTGTGAATAGAATTTTGTAATGGATTGTATAATGGCTGGTAGAATTTTGCTTAATTAGAAGTTCACAAAGAAGAAGTAACATAATAAATTAAATGAATCTTAAACACATGCTATGTTTGAGTAACAATATAACATCACCAAATAATATTTTTACAGATTAATATTTTTAGGTGCCTGGCAACAATATTTTACGCTTGGAGAAATTTTTAAAGCTTATGGTCATTATCAAGAGGCTTCCATACACTTAAGGCACACATTAGAGCTCAATCCAGATTTTGAACCTGCTCAGATAGCTCTGAAAGAGATGGAGACTATGCCTGCTGCCACAATCCACATTTATACTCTTGTGATCATTGTCTGTTTGGTAAGTTAAACAGAATTGTCTTAGTTTATTCTTTATGATGCTTTTTGTAGTCTTGTATCGAAATATTTAAATGTATTTAAATGGTAAATTACTTTTTTGTAAACATATTTACATACAGTCAAACAGACAGAATTTTCGTTTCATTATTTCAATATGCAAAACATTTTATTTGTATCAGATCTGTATAATGACTCTAATAATTTCCATAATCTTACTTAAAAGTTATGTTTCTTCTCAGCGCCTTTTGTCAGTAGTGATGCATGGTTATGTTTTTGACATTATAGAGAATTATTTCATGCTATTTGACAAATTGGACAGTTACTAGAATTGTATTAGTCATTTCTGCACTTGTTATGAAATTAAAATGATATTCCAATTTGGATAAAAAAACAATTTTATGTTGGCTTATTTTTTTATAAACTATTGTAAATGAATCATGAAATACTATTTGTAGAGTACTGAAATCTGTATTGAAACAAATGTTGAAATTGTTATATGAATTAAACACATTCCAAAATTTTGCATATAATACATCTGCCAGAGTATTGGTATAAAAGTTAGGCCACCTGTAATGCAGAATGGGTATAATGAATTACGTAAAATTACTGCAACATTTAATACCAAACAATTTAAAGTATTTTTTAAATTCTTCGACACAGGTTTATGACATTATGTTGCACAATTTTCAAAGGCATTTTGAACATAGGGGCATAGGTAGTGTGACCAACTCTAATTTAATCGAATTCGGGACAAGGCTACAAAAAATACCTGAAATCCGGGACTTTTCAGTGTAAATCGGACTATTTTTTTTTAAACAAGGACTGTAATACCATCATTTTATTAATTATTTAACATTTATATGTTGACAATGATACTTTTGATGGGATTAAGCCATAATTGGTTATAAGAATGAAATTTTTGTTAGTTTCTGACGTTTCGACTTCCAATCCGGAAATTATTCTCAAAAATGAAAAAATTATAAAATCAACTGATGTTGGATCTCCATGTTAATGTAACTTTAATATTTATATTTTTTGATATATCAATATATTTAATGCTGGACTGAAATGTCCAGGTGAAATATCTAAAGTTAATGTTTTGGTATATTTATTTTGTTGGCAACAATGAAAGTGGTATCAAAAATTGCACAGAAATAGCTCTGATGTAAACAGGCTAAGCAAGAGATATGCCATGCAAGATAGACTTGCATAGCATGGGACTTGCATTGCCTAGATGTAAAGCTGCTTTTACCTGATCAAGAATGAACAATAACCAAACTTTCAAACATGGATCCTTGAAAAAATCCTTCAGTAGTTTTGGTTACAGGATAATTATAATACAGAAACGAAAAAAAGTGCACAGTTTGAGTTTTCCTATAACATAATACCACAATAAAATGCATGCGTTTTGGATGTGGTATTAGTATTACACTCTAGAAATTTTCGACTTTTTTTCGTCCCAACAATTCAATTTGATGTAAATTCTTAGAAGAATAACGTATTTAAAATTTCAAAATAGAATTTTACCAAAAAGTTAAAAATTCGGATGGCCGGAAAGACTTGTCTGGGACGCCGGGACACGACTTCCTAATTTAGGCCGTGTCCCGGATTTTTCGGGCTAGTTGGTCACACTAGGCATAGGGGATGTTATCATTCAATAAAAGTATATACATAATATGTTCTCAGTTATTTATTATATATTCCTATTCCTGTACCTATTCCAATTACGATAGGAAGAGGGATCACGTAATTCGGCAGCTGGTGTAATAATTATAGACGGCTGTATTCTAGCGTTGATATTTTTGTTGCAGGTGCTGGGCGTTTTGTTGGTTATATTATCGTCAGTTGATAACATAGTAGACTTCACCGAAGAGATGAAACCTCAAAGACATTTCAACAAAGCGATGGCGATGAGGTCTCTCAGAGGAATCACCTTGACGGCGAAACGAATTAAAAGACCTTCTATATAGCAATAAGATCTGATCCGACGATATCTTTTATGTGTACTTTAACGTGTGTTCGACTTATTCCAGTACCTGCCCTATATTTTGTTTTATTTATAAGTTTTAACTTAGTTAATTAAATTATTCTGAAGAGATACATGTGTTTTTATTTATTTCGTACAGGTTGGATAATTTATTTCTTGGATACAGTGAGGTAAGATATAAATTGAGTGATTTTGGTTGACATTAGCAGTGTACAGACATACATTATATGATTCACACGATGAATTTCTCGTAATTAACAGGGAGATTATGTGTTCTATCCATATATACTATTGCAGTGACTTGTCTAGTGTTTTATCAATTAAAATTCAGACATTTTTTTAATATGTTGTTCAAAGCCAAGGTTCATTCTAGTCATTTTTGACAATCTTTGAGTGAAATGTGTTAGATTGTGTGAAATAACCATTAGCTTGTATCATAGAATTTCACTAAACGTCTATCACACTAGCTAACGGTGATCTGACGCAATTTAATACGCTTCACTAAATGTCTCTGACATGAGCGTCAAATATTATCAGAATGAACCTTTTTAACGTTTTTCCATAAGAAATAACATGGAGCACATCCACCAATGCGCTAGAAACCACACAGCCTTTTTGTTTATGTGGTTGTATTAATGTTTAATTTAATTGTGGATTTTTAAATCTCGTTAAAACATTGCTCAGTTCTATTTATCGAAAATTCACTGATGATGCAGTAGTAAATTTGTTATTAGATTTATTTTTTGATGGAATAATAAAGCTTTTCTATGCGATCTTTCATTAATAGAAATAACCTGAGATTGAAAATTGTTATTAATGAATATAAGAACTCCTCCTCCACTTAATTTCTTACTCGTTCCACTATTTCTATCACTCCTATAAATGTTAAAACCTTTACACTTTAATTTACTATCGATTATGCTGTTGTTTAAGTTACTTTCAACTAAAATAATAATTATATTATAAGAGCAGCATGAAATACTTTTTTGCCACCTGAGTTACTCAGTCCTTACCAGGTCCTTAGACGGCTGAAGCAAACAACACAACTGGTCAATATAATAATAATATTCCAATTTTTTGTAGTGTTGACACATCTTTCTGCTAGAGATCATCAATAGGTAAAAATTATTGATATTAAGAATAAAAGATGACAGATCAAGTCTCAGAAAGTTTTTATAGCTGAAAAATATGATAGGACAGAGAATTAAATGAGTAACAAGTCTAAAATAGAGTATAATTCACATGCTTTGCCAATCTATGATATTACTTATGGTACCCCAAGGAAAAATAAATGAAATATAACTTTTTCACAAAAATAAAAGATATATTTATAAATAATAAACAACATTTCAAAATCAATATATCACAATGTGAAAGGTTGTTAAATTTCAACATTTTCATTATTATACCATTTCCTCCTTTGACTTGGAAACATCACATTCTGTATTATCATTATTTAGAATTATTGTATCTTCATTGTCTATTGATGTTTCATTTGATGCTAAAGCTGAATTATCATTGTCAACACTAGAATTATCAGTTGCTATCTTGTCAATTCTCTTAGGTAGTATTTTTTCAAATGCTTCCTTGAAATGATTGCCTTCACTTACATATAAAAGAATTTCGAACACTGAAACAAAAAGATTACTTATATCATTAACCATCAATTTATAGATTAGAGTAGTATAAGAATGTAAATTGAAAATGTTAAAAACAAAGAGAACTTTTATTTAGCATGTTGAATTAACAAAAATTAAACAAAAAAGCATCTCTAAAATAATAGTTTTATATCAGGAAACATAATGTAGATGTAGTCTAATTAAAACATATGATCTCTCAAGGATTATATAAGTATGGTAAAGGTTTATTGGCATATTTTTTTAGATGTTGATAAAGTTCTATACTGTGGTGCATATTTATTTTATACTCTTGAGGTATAATCTTAAATATCTTGCTTACCATGGTTTATTGTTAAAACTTTCCTTTGTTTCATCCAAAAATATTCCTCAATTGGTAACTTTCCATGTGCTATACCTTGTTCAACAGCCTTATTGTAGCATATGCCCTAAAAAAATAAAATGTAAATAATAAATCAGAAAATGTGACAAAACTATTTAAATTTTTCCAATCAAGGTTTGTAATCTATGACATAAGAAATAAAGTACCTTATGTGCATTATGATCAACTAAACCTCCTATAATATAAATTTTGTCTTGCTCTAATTCCATAATATTATTTTCACTTTCACTGCTCAAATAAACTAATTTTTCCTTGGGAAAAATATTTATATATTCATCTGTATGAAAGTTTATATCCCAATGTTCATGTCCATGATGCCTAGAAAATTCCTTTTCACTTTTACCATTAAAACTACTTAAGTGAAGCTGCATTGGTGCCTTGGCTCTTCGATTCAATGTGTAGATTCTTAGCACTTGCTTAATAGTTTTGGCCATATCTTTATCTATCATCAGCTCATCGAAACTTAAATCTATACAAACACTTATTTTGCATGGACTATTCGCCATTTTAACCCTTTTTAGTTCTTTTCTACTGGGGCCCAAATCAATGCCATGAAGCTTGGCATATATTTTTTTCTCTTTGGTCTTTAATCTTTCCTTCTTACGCTTTTCTTTTTTTACTTTATTCCAATTAACTGACCGAAGATACTTTTTCTTCTGCTTTTTGCTAAGTTTGGAAATTTCAACCCCATTGAAATATTCAATGCCTGTTTCAGTATGGGAATCTTCATTTTGAGAACTATTTACTGTAGATTCTGCAACTGAAGTTTCGGTTTCTGTAACTTGCTTTTCTTTTTCAACCTTCATGGTTTATTGTATAATAAATAAAATCTATAAACAATAAAAACCTTGGTTTGCGATATTTTTATTGCTATTGGTAAATAAAGGCCATAAAGTTATAGGTTACAGTGTCAAGCATGACAACTATTTGCAATTGACATTTTTACACGTGGTTTCTGAAATATAATCATCTTATCTTTTGTCTTTCATGGTGACATTCATAATTAGAGATGGGCTATACGAAAATTACGAATGCAAATCTAGGCAACATACTTTGCAGTAATTCCGACTATACATAATGAAATTTATATATGTATATTGAGTTTGCAAATGAGACGTTTTATTTCCAGTACATGTAAAGCATATACCCTCATTCACAAAAATATAATTTTTAGGTGGTGAGTGGATTTCTGGAACTTTTGGATCAAATCCTAATACTGACAGATTTCTAACATGCTTTTGGAATTGACCTAGGTATTTCCATATTTTTTTCATTGAGCTGCCGATCAACTTCTTTATTTAAAAGATAGTTTACTTTTAAGTCCTCTAAAATACTAGGTTTCTGCTGAAATAAAGATGTTTCTTTGAGTACCTTAATCTTAGTACTTCGTTTAACACCTTTTTTTGTCAAGAAATTTTCTTTAGTTTTCAGAAATCGTTTTGCTTTATTTTATAACTTTGTTAGCTCCTTTTCATTTTTTCGCGTTCCTTTTCCTCTAGTTGTCTTTTATGAACTGAAGAAGATATTACAAAACTAAATCTTTGGGTATTACGTATGTCCATACGTTTGGGAGTTTTGGCCTAAGGCAAACAATCTTCATGTTACTGATCTTATTTATAAAGTTTTGACTCGTGGAGGGAAATGAATCAAAAGTTAAAATGGCAGCGGATCCTGTGATTGTTTCTTGAGTATTTTCTGAGTAAAGTGCTAAACTTTGTGCCACTTTTGCATTTTGTTCAGGAACTTCTTCCAAAAAAACAACAGGTACAGATTCTATATTGTAAGTTACAGTCATCGCTGCTCTCTCGTCTACTACAGACATATCTTCCAAAAACATTTCATCTATTACAATTTGTGAATTATCGCTTTCTTCATTATTTGGATTATTTGGATGTAAAATGTTAAATAGATTAAGATCCTGAAACTTTTGCTAGTGTTATCAGTTTCCATTTTTTCTGGCTTCTTTTAAGAGCTGTAAAAGTATCTTCGCATATGTTGCAAAAATCGGCCAAATTGATGATTCTGTGGTTTCACCCAATTTATCTACGGTATATTTTTTACCTAGGCATTTGTTGTAGTCAATACTATCCACGTTCCAAGGACAGAGACCACACACTCTGAAACCACTTAAGATAGCCGATGGTTTAAGAATATCTACCGCTTCTTTTAAAATTTTTAGCAAAGTTACTCTTATTTAGTTGTTAAAATGGATTTTGTCTCTTACAATTCAACAAAGCTCTTTTCTACCCATTTTTAAGTGGCTTGAAACTAGAGACGTCAGTGGGTTCAAGAATTCTAGTGGCATTTGGATATAATGCCTCTAAGATTATTTCGAGTTCTGTACATAGTTGACTTAGTTGGTATGTTAAATGTGTTTTGTGCCCGTCTACAAATATTATAATTGGAAATGTACCATGTTGTTTTACTAAATAAGAATATAATACCTTAGATATATAATCATGAAAAACATCTGCTTGCATCCAACCTTTTTTACTCGTAGCAATACCCCACCCATCTGCAACACCTTCTGCGATGCTTTTTGGTAATCTTTTACAAGCATAAACGATCATCGGTGGCGTTATAACTCCCACAGCAGAAAATGTGAACGTGACGGTAATATTTGTTTTCGATGGGCTTTGCTCTATCTGATAAATATTTTTGGCACCTTTTGGTGCAAGAACCCTATCTTCTTTCGGACAAAGGGTAAAATAAGTTTTATCTCCATTTTAAACTCTGCTAGGATCAGAAATAATGTCAAAATAGTTCTTTTCCATTAAATATTCTTGTATATTATTAAAAATGACTTTCTGATATCATTTTCTTACACGTTTCCACTGATATTGTTTACAGCTTCAGGAATTATATTTGTTAAATTAGGGTGTTTTCTTAAAAACGATTGATACCAATGATGCCCAGGAAGAATGTTTTTAAATAGATTTGGTGGGAGGTTCTGATCCAAAAATAACTTAACAGAAGGTTGGATATCCTCTTTTCTTTTCGGAAACCCTTTTCTGTGATAATATACTATCCATTTTTCTAGTACAGTTTTTTCTGAAATACTTAAATAAGTAATTTGAAATACTTAAATGAAATTTTTCATTTAGTCTAAATTTCAGAGTAGCTCTGGGCATCTCATATTTAACTGCTGATGTAAGAAACCCAAAAAGTTAGGATTAAATTATGCCATGACTATAAATAATTATGCTGGATTGACTGCAGGGTTGAAAGTGACGAGGAAATTTCGACCAGAATAGAACTCGCACGGAAAAACTTTATTAACTGGCGTTCTGTATTATGCAGTAGAAGTCTGTCGTTGACCACACGTCTAAGAGTATTGAAGTGCTACGTCTAGTCCACTTTGTTCTGTGGATATGAAACCTGGACAACAAAAATAAAAAATCTTAACAAATTAGAAGCGTTTGAGTTATGGTGTTACCATCGCATGCTTAGAATCCCGTGGACAGCACACATATCTAACGAACGTGTGCTAGAGACCGTGCACAAAGAGCGAGCATTGATCAACATCATCAAAATGAGAAAGGTCCAATACTTCGGTCATATAATGAGAGGACCTAAATATCGCTTTCTCCGGTTATTCACTCACGGCAAAATCGAAGGAAAACGTTGGGTCGGAAAAAAACAACTGTCCTGGCTGCGTAACATTAGACAATGGACAGGTCGAACGGCCGAGGAACTGTTTCATCTAGCTGCCGACCGAGAATCATTTCATCAGCTTGTCAATATGACGATAGCCAACGCTTGGATACAAGCACGGCACACAAAGAAGATAAATAATTATCATCATTAGCCAAAAGAGACGTTGTAAGATATTTCATAATGCTACATAATTAAAAACATATTTTACCCATAATCCTATGTCGTCACTGTTACGAATAAGGTAACAGTGAAAACAACTTGCAGCTGCTCCAAGCTCTAATAAATTTGTGCAAATACAAAACACGATATTTCAGGGACAATGCGCCAGGTTAGTGTTCTGTGACAATGCCAATGTGAATCACGGGTCCGCAATTGCGACTATTTATTTACAAAAATAACAATGAATTTTGTGAGACAAAAGTTTTTTGACGTTGTAATTCCTTACTTTAGTAAGAGAATAGAAACCAACAAAGAACAAAAAGTCACAAAGTATGGACAGTATTTTGAGAAGATCTATGAAGTTCTTAGCTGGGAAGATACTCGCTACAGTTTGATAGTTTTTGTTGTTTTTAATTATTTATTTTGGTAAGTACTTAAAAATCGTTAATTCAAACTAGAACTACGAAATCTTGTATATTTTTGGCTCATCATGGCCTATAAATATATTTATCGCATGAAATCTAGGAGCGTTTCTTAATCTATTTTATTTAACAAACGTAAATTGCAAATTATAAAAATTGTTGCGAAACAATATTTGGCAATTCTTTAAATTTATGAAAACGAAGTTAATGCGTCACACCAAGATTTTTATTTTATTCTTCATCAACTCTTATATTGCAAGTCATCAACATTTTTTGACACAAATAGCATTAGAATCCTCACAGTCAACAACATTCATAAAACTAAAAATATAATTGTTTATAATTGGACTGTTTTTGAAACACGATCTGAATAATATTCACAGAAAACAAATTATACTTTTCATTAAAAATGTGTCTGAAAAATAATATATAATTGTATGGTAATTAATTTATTAAATACATTCTTTAAATTATTTATTTATAACTTATACTGCAACAAATAAACACCATACATTATTGTTTGTATTCTTGAATATTTTGTTATCCTAATTTTTTTAAAGTTTAAAGTCATACAAATTTTGTTTATTAAAAATGTTTTAACTGTGCATTATACTTATAACAATGGGTAACACCTATCATTTCAATAAAGAAGAACAAACCTTTTCAATATTAGATATAGTTGATTACCATGGTTATTTTTATTATTTATCATTAGACATTTTTTTATTTATAATTTTAGTTGTTGGTTTACTTTGTATTCTTTTATTTTTAGGTATGAGTATTTAAAAATATGAGTTACTATATTATTATACACTTCAGTGGATAAAGATCCACTTGGATCCACAGAGATCATTTAAAATTTTATGGATTTTATATTTTTAATGTCACAATTTTACTCACTATTGTTACCTGTTTCTGTACCTCAGAACCAGACAAACATAAGTCACTATTAGCCAACTTTTCAGGATAGAGCAAAAACTAAAAAAGTTACCTAATTGCTTAATTGCAAAGCTGTTACTTTGTTTAACCTTCAAACTATTGTTTGTAATATTAACAAATAAGTATCCTTTATTTATTGTTTGTTTGTTTTTTCTACTAAATATATCTCATTTTGTAAAAAGTGGACTTATGTTATTGTGGCTCCACACAAAACCCTACTGTAGGACTTACTCCTGAACTTGCGTTATTTTGGCTCTATAAAAATCCCTCATAGACTTACTTATCTAGGAAAAGGTGTTTCGAAATAAACTTCATGTGCTACTATTAAAAACATGTAATTATTATAATTAATAGATGAAAAACTAGCATTTAGTTAATGTTTTTGAATTAATTTTGAACATTATTGTCAAAGAGGTAAGGAGAAAAAAAAATTATTCAGGAGCAGTCCAGTCATCCTCAGGGAAGTTGCCTTCGTGTTCACCATGTGGAAGGTTTTCAAAGAAAGATTTGTATTCTTCAGGGATCCATTGCATCAGGTTCATGAGGTCGTTGTACTTTTCATTGCTTATTTTCTTTTTGTGTGCCTGTATTTGTGGAATTGCCGATGGCACATTAATCCTTTCTTGCCTATCATTTCTTTTCTGTTCAACATTTTTGAATGAATCTTCCACAAAACTGGTTTTGTATTACTGTCCCCTTTGCGAAGCTGTAGTTTTTATTTGTTTTTTAGCTCTCTCTATTATGCTGTGTTTTCCATCAACCTCCATGTGGGTGTGTCCGGCCAATAAGAACTTGTGGTTGACTGTCTTTACAGTAGGAACTTTTTCCAAGAGCCTCAAATACATAAAAACCATATTCATATTTCTGTTTTGTCCACTGCAATTATCTGTCCAAATAGTCAGTACATCAGTAGGCTGGTTATTAGTAATTTCTTCACTTGCCCATGTAAATAAGCAAGACGCTATTTCATTTCCTCCTCGACCTGCTGTAACTTCATTCCACATCATGCACCAAGTTTTATCAGTTGTTGCATAATAAATAGCACTATTTAACATCCGGAGTTTTCTTGAGTAAAAACTTTTGGTGTTTTTTAAGTCTGGTGGTGGAAGGCACTTTTGGAGATCTGACATAATCTCTCTTGATCCTATGTTAGCACTTCTTTCAAGTTTGTCTTTTTTCTTTAACTCATATCTTAATGAGGCATCTTCGAGGTGTTTATTTTTTTTAATTTCAGTTCATTGAGTAGTTTGTCATTTTTTTCATTTCACAATCTAGTCTTTCACAAACATCACATGTATCGTTGTCTGGTGAATGAAAAGACAAGTTGAAATCTTCATTAATAAATTTTAGAATTAATCCACTTTTTTCTGATTTAGCTTCTTCTTTTTTACACTCTTCCTCATACATTGCGTACATTGTAGAAATGTTCAAGTGATTTCCCAAATATTTTCGTTGAGACCTTTCCCTGCTGTAATGGCTTTCATATACAGGGAACTTTGAAATATGATTTTTAATTCGTTGTAGTCTATCTATAGATATATGCTAGGTATTTTATTACTTGGCATATGTTTTCTCCTAAGGTCTGTAGTTACCAATCCAGATGCACTGGCCTCTTTTATGGCTACTCATGAAAGTTTCTGAAATTGAAAGTGTATTTAAGAAGAACATTTTGCAACTTACTTCCTCTTTTTTATGTAATTTAAAAAAAAAAACGAATGACTTTTAGATTTGTTCTTTCTTATCACGTCTCTCTGATGTTGCCTATTAACTGGCTTAGTTCTTATACAAGACAATACAAACTGCCGTTTTGTTCTTCTTCTTCCTAGAATAGACTTGCTGGGAAGAAATATGTTAACACAAAAAATATGGTTGTTAAAAAAATATCAATAAAACTCCCTTGTTATGATAAGTGGCGCCTAAAATATAACCAGAGCTTTACAGAATTTCCATTTTTCTTCATGTCTTACTCGCTTTTTGCCTTTTTCTTAACTCCCTATGTTTGTATTGTCTTCTGTATCGGTGTAATTATAAGGGACCAGTAAAGCTGCATTCACCACAGGGCTGTTCAAAAGCCTAGGCCTACTTACCACGGCTGCAGTAGAATCACTGCTTGATGTAGATTTAAGAGCAATTTAAAAAGGCTTCCACATAATTCTACACTTACCACTAGATTAAATGAGTTTGAATCATTTTAACTCTTGACCTCCTGCTTATAGGGTTGATGGGTTTTAAATTATTTTTTTAGTATTATTTAATTGATATTTAATTTTGTTTGGGGGGTCATGACCCCGTGACCCCCCCTTGTATCCGCCACTGGTCTGTGGTACAATAATGAGCATTTTTCGACTTGTTTCTGATATTTAGGCTTTGAAAAGTTAAAAGCAGTTGTGCAATTTATTAAGATTCCATTGACCAATTGTATTTGAGGAGGACATTATTCTTAACACATTGACGGACAGACCTGCTATAGCCGTCATGTATACTGTGACGCACCTGCTACAGCCGTTCAATTATAATTCGCTTTGTATGACAGACCGGTTGAGGCTGGCACATTTTATACTATTATACCATTAAAAATACATGTTGGTGTCCCACGAAACGTGTTTGCAATGTTGGTTGCCAGCTGTTTAGGTACCTACTGCCAATTAGAAGACGTGGGTGTATGGAGGGGAAGGCAGTTATACCGGAATGCCACATGCATTTGTTATTGTTGACTCAGACATTGTAGAAATTGTTATTTTGAATAATATTCTGTGGCGTATGGTTTTGATTTAGTTATTTTTGTGCGTAAAAGAATAAAAACATATACAGGGTGTTTATTTTTTAAACAAGCAATGAATCCAGAAGAAGAAAAACGTCTTTTGAAACTTTATGAGGAAGTAGACAGCGATGAATATATTGATAGTGATATATCTTATGGGGAATCAGACTCCTATCATCCCAAAAATGACGATCTTGATTCTGATGACAGTAACATAGAGTCAGAGGTAAGTTCAAGTTTTTTTTTATTTTTGTTGTTATTTTAGAACATTGACTTTCAGGTTCTAGAAACTCTTAATGAAGAAGGTCATGTTTCTGCAGAAGTGAGTCCCGAATCAGATGCTGACGATAATATTCGTCCAAACGCAAACCCAGTCGAAGGAAGTGATAATGAGGATACTAATGAAAATGGATGGAATAGTGATACTGTGAGTATAGATGACTTCTTATTTGATTATTCACAAATGGGAATCAAGTTATTTGGAGATTTGAACTCGTCACCTTGTGACATTTTTACTCAACTGTGGAATGATGGTATAATGGATTTATTGGTAAAATCTACAAATCATTACGGGAAATCCCTAACTAGACAATCACGTCCCAAAACAGACATTCACGTAGTATTACTTTTAAAGAGACTTCCAAAGAGGAAATGAAAAAATTTCTTGGTTTATGTTTGCTACAAGGGCAAATTAAAGTCCAAATATTAGAAAACTGTTTAGTTTCGATCCATTAAACTACCATCCAATATTCTCGTACATAATGAGCGGTAGACGATTCGAACAAATTTTACGGTGTTTTTCCGTGCACAGTGGTGACGATATTCTTAACCCGAATGATCGACTTTACAAGATTAAAAGCCTACTAAATATGTGTCTCAGAAATTTTCAAGATGCTTATACACCAGGTGCACAGTTGTCTTTGGATGAGTCGTTACTATTATTTCGTGGTCGGCTATCATTTAGAACTTATATGAAAAATAAAAAAACGAAATACGGGATTAAGTTTTACGAACTTTGTTCTCACGATGGATACGTATTGAATGTGGACATTTATAAGGGTCAGGGGGAAGAGGGGCCAGATAATAATATGACGAAACTAGAACATCTGGTTATGAGACTGATGCATCCCTATCTAAATAAGGGATATCATCTCTTTATGGATAACTATTACAATAGCATACCACTTGCCAATAGATTGTTGCAGAATCAAACACACGTAACAGGTACTCTACGCTCAAACAGACGAGGAAACTCGAAAGTAGTTGTGACTAAACGTCTTCGTAAAGGACAGCATATATGGAAA